ATATTCAGGGAGATGACAAAAATGGAGAAGGAAGGAGACAATGACAAAGGCCACATTTCATAATGTGCCCTGAGGTCTAAAAAAGGAAACCAGGCTCTGACTTGCATAGAATGATGAATTCTTCGACAAAGGATTCACTGAATATTTCCTCTGCTCAATGTCAAGTGCACAGCCCACAAAATGCTCTGTCATTCAGGGCACCCCCTAGACTCCCAGCAATACAGCTCTGAACCGTAGACAGTCAAAAGAATGGCATAGCAGAGGAGCTGCCTTATGAAAAAAATGAAGAGTGCCAATTTATGTCAAACTTGGCCACAGAATGAGTAAATCCAAGCTTCTTTGAGGCAAGAGGATTTCGTCTCTAAATTGTTTGGCTGTAAGTAGTGATATTTTTCTTTCATGTTCCATGGTAATAATAGAAATTTTTTTGTTTGTTTTATATGGAAGGCAGCATAGAGATCAACTCATTCCTATTCCTACACTTCGAGGAAAAGGAGACAAAGAGATGAATTGAGGTGTCGAAGGCCTGCGGGGGGTTTGGACAGTATCTGCCCACAGCACAGCTCTGCCAGGCTGAGTTCCAGGCTCTGCTGACAACAGAGAGTCCTGGGCTTTTCTAACCTGTCCCTGCTCCTCTGTGCCCCGTCTCATGGGGTCCTCCATGGCATTTCAACTCCTCTCTCACCAGCCAGTCTGGCCGACTCAATTTCCTAAAGCCCCGCCACACCCATCCTCCCCGTTCCTGAGGGCCACCGCCTGAGGTCTCAGTATCAACTCCTGGGCTTTCTAACTGGTCTGCCTGCTTTATGTCGCGTCTCCTTTGGAGAGTCCTACTCCCTGCTGCCTGAGCTGTGCTTTAAAATTGCAATATCATCAATTGCCTGCCGTCCCCTAAGGATCGAGTTTCAACTGCTTTTCATCCAATGCAAAACATTTTATAAGTGGATCTATTTTTCCTTCTCTCCGTTTTTAGGTCTCCTAAACACCCACTTGTTCTTGAAGGCTCAGCTCCTGGGCGGATTTGGCTGGTCCCTGAGTTTAGGTTTGCTGCCCGTTCCATGGGTCCCCAGAGTTGCTGAACAGGTCCTTTGGGAGGCGCATCACTTCTGGCCATGCCATGTCCTCTGCATCCCGCCTGCTGTGACTTGGCTAACTTCCGGTACCCTGCCTCACATAACAGATGTTTGCACTGACTCAGAGTCACTCTCCATCCCCCAAAATCTTTTTTATCATCCTTTAGGACCCAAGAAGTCACTTTGGCTTCCACACGGATGCCCTATTCTTCCCCCAAACGCTCTCAGACACCTTCCTCTACCTCCTCTCAATGCCATTCTCCTCCCCACTTCCAGACCATGTCGTCACCAGAAATCTGATCTCTGTTGAGTTCCTAAGAGCTCATTCCTGTTTCCGTTGTCCCCTAAGTGATGTCATCATCTCTCATCTCTTTATCTGCTAACAATTAGCACCTTTATATCGCTAACCCAAACATCCTTCTGGGGGCTAATCCAACTGCAAAATCTGCTTCCCAATTTAGGTGGCATATGGCGCCTCATGATCAACTGGGTCAAAACTGAATTCTTGAAATGCCTCTAAATCTGTTCCTCCCTGAATTTTCCACATCTCCCGGATGACACTGAGATCCACCTAGTTATTCAACCCAGATATTCAGGTCGGAGTCTTGATAACTGTCCTTAACCATGCGTCTCTAATCTGTCACCAATCCTGAGGCTACTACCTTCAAAACAGATCAAAACCCCATCTCTTTCTTGTCATTTAAACTGTTACCACCCTGGTCCAAGGAAGCATCGCCTCCTCCCTGGCCTGTTGCAGTAGCTTCAGAACTGGTCCCAGTGCCTTCCCACGGGGCACCCCACATGGTAGTTTCAATCGAGACTCCCAATGCCCAGCTTTAAAGCTGTCCATCAATTCCCACCCACCGCCCTGAAACATAATTGAAAAAATAAAACCCCAAACCTTTTGGCTTCACTGCCGTCCTCCCTGCCTCCACTGCTCTGGCCCCTGCCTCTCTCCCCACTTCATTTTAAGACCCTCTTTAGTCTCATTATGTTCCAGTGATTCGGGCTTCAGGTCCTTGCAAGGAAAGGGTCTCTGTCAAGCCTTAGGGTGTTAGTCAACAGGCTGCATCTCCCATCCTCGCCTGTCTGAGGGCCTTGCCTCTTTTCATACTTTATATTTTGGCTCAAACATGGCTTCCTTAGTGAGGTCTTTCCTAAATCCCCCATCCAAAATAAATTGCTCCTCACAATTCCATTATTTTTCTTTATAGAAGAATTACTGGTGTGGTTTCTTTTTAATGCTTGTTTTCACTGTTATTGTGAATACCGTGAGGGCCTTTACCAAACCCATTTATTCTCACATGGCACAGTTCCTGGCACACAGTGAATGTATAAACGAAAAAAGAAAACCTAGAAAAAGGACCCTAGAGGTACACTTGAATGCTCTATTCTCTTTAGTTTCTACCCAAATTTATATCAGGAATTAGCTGCAGTGAGGTCCCCTTTCTTAAAATTTTCACTAAGTCTATACAGTGGCAAACACTCCTGTATTAAGTGACTGATCACTGCCACAATACTGCTTCCTCCCCAGAGAGGACGGCTAGCTTCCATTTTTGAAACAGGTAATTTATTCAACAATGAGAAGCACCCAATCACGTTTGGGTCACTGAGAAGTGTGACAGCTCTATTCTTTCATTGAAATGCCATAAAATAAGGTGCGTGTACAATGTCTGGTGACACAGGATGACATAGCAAGACTTCATAGACTAGCTCATGCTGTCAGGTCTTCCGTTTCTTCAACATACATCCCGTAGGAAGGGAAGAGCCCGCGTCGAGCTGTGTGGTTCCATGCTCTGCTAATGACGCCAAGTTCACGTTCCTTCCAGATGAAGGAAGGGTTGATGGGTGGCAAAAGGCCACCTAGTGCCTGCTGGCCTTCATGAGTTCCTGACGCACTGATGTGCATAAGTGTCCCGAGTGACAGAAGAAACATATTCTCACGATAGGGAGCTGTCCTGTAGTCTCACTGCTTAGGCTGCACCTAGAGTATTGGGCTAAACTGGGGTCATACTCGTTACAGGAGGTACTGCTGAGGAGGAGATCCGTGTTTCTGAGTGAAGGCATCAATTTATAGAAGGTACACGCGCCTGAAAGTAAACCAGCCCTTCTTCACATAAAGGCTGTATTCATTACGGTTTTGTTGTGTTTTCTAATTCTCCTCTGCAACGCATATAGGGAAATAATTTCTTAATTGCCCAAACCCAGTTAGGCTGCCCTGATTTCCCTTGAGGTTAATAGTTTCCTTGAAACAAAAATCAAGATTCTTATAGATTAAACTGATTTCTCATAGACTATACTTTGCTTCAAGGAAGACGAAAACGGAAGTGAACAAGAACGCCCCTGAGAACAGCGACAAGCCCAACGATCAATGAGCTCCTCAATCTAGCTTTCTGGTAAGTAAATTCCTTCTCAGGGGCAGCCTTAGAGTTCTTGGCTTGGGAGGAGATTTTTGAGGTGACAGCTGCCATTTGCCATGTTCGCTATGCACTTTCCACCCTATACTCATGTCTTCATCATTCTCTCCCCTCTGTTCTGCACCCTGCCTGGTTTCCTGCTGCTGTCGGAAGCTCCCCACAGGGGTCTGCTTGCCTCTAGAGCCATTTAGGGCTCTCAGTTCTAGTTGCACAATCCTAGTCCCACTTCACACCTACGGAATCAATGTTTCCATGGGTGGAGCCAACCGGTTTGTAGAGAAAAGAAGACAACAACAATAACAACCAAAAACCCCAAAAAACCCCAAAAGACTCCATAAATGATTCTGAAGCTTATCCAGATTTAAGACCCTCTGGCCTCAAACATAATTGAATCTGAATCTTGTCTGAATGACATAAGCAAGTTTTTAACTCAATAATCCTTAAAAAAAATAATAATACCCTACTCCTGGTAACCTTCACTGAAAATTTACTAGGTGTCAGATAATATGCAAAGAACCCGATGCAGAATCTTATTTCCTTCATATAACAATGCTACAAGGAAGATATTATTATTAACCTATTTCATAGACAAACATATGGAGGCTTATTGAGTTTAATAAACTTAATGAGGTGCCCAAGATTATACATCTGGTGATTAACAGCGCCATATCCTGAGTGAAGGGTTTCTCAGGGGACCTGACACATGGCAAACAATCTGTGTGGTAGCCAACATCGGTGGCATCACGCCATCACTGTCCTTATCATCATATCCCTCAGCAGCTCACGGCAAATGCTGAGCCTCTCATGCAGCCACTCAACAGGGCCTGCCTCCCACACCCCTCCAGGGTTTTGGAGGGTACCGAGTGTCTGACGGCAAATGCGCCCTCAGAGAGCTGTACATCTTACAGAGCTGTGGGAGTTTGCAGGAGCCCACAGGCTCATCCCATAGTCCTGGAACTCAATAGGGAAGTGAGGAGAAGCTAGGCTCTCTTCCCAAGTGGGAAACCTCAGGCCAAGTTCATGAAAGCTGCAGGTAGGTTTTACTACTGCCGGAAGGGGATTGCAGCACCCAGAGGGGCCTCGTGCTATAACTATGAGGAAGCGGGCTCTGGGGTGTTCTATGAGCTTCCTCTAGCAGCGTGGACAACTGAGTGATGCTGTATTTCTCCCGTCTCGCCCACTCGTGGGGGCTGCTTCATGGGCCCTTTCTTTCTGTGGACTTCAACCTTGCGTTCACTTTCTGGGTTTTCCCCTACATGTTGATTGTTTTTCTTTTTTAAAGGCTAATTTTTCACTGTTGTAGTCAGAAGGTAGATTTTTCTAAAAAGTGCCATTTTGGAAGGTATAATTGCTTTCAAACTACATTTCACCATTCACCCTAATGATATTAAGCTTATTGATTGTTATGATAAAAATACAGCACAGAAGAAACAAACGCCAGTGGTACTACTTGTTTTCAACATTGAGAAGGGCAGTGTTCACCAGACATAAATACGGCACAGTTAGTTACCTGTCATGTTGCAGTAAACTTTCAGAGGTCCCAGCGGTCCGCTGCCATCAGGGTCTATCCAGTAGTAATTGGACGTCTGGCCTAGGTGTTTGTACGCTTCACAGGAAGGCTCATAGATAGCTGGAACAAAATAGCCTAGATGAGCACAGTGCAAAATAAATGACTCCCCAGGTAAATGCCCCAGTAACACATCAAATCTCAGCAAACTACTATCGAGGAGCGTGTCTTCTTGCTAGAATAAGCATTCTTTTTCTCTGCGTTTCAATTCATGATTTGGTTCTTACGCTATAAGCATTTCTGATGTATAACAAGCAAAGCGCAAGTTCCTGCGATGACTCTCTGGCTGGGAAAAAGTCTAAAACAATCAATACATTGTAAATAACTGTAATGTTTGTTGCATTGGGGCTCATGATCATTGAACAAATATTTAATCTATAGTTTATAGATACCATCTTCTTACTGTAAGGGATGTTATTTCAAAAAGGCCATGAATATTGGCTGCTCTGTTGGGCTACCAACTAAGAGACAAGAGGAAACGCTCTTTCTCTCTCTGTTTGTTTCTGTCCCTGTGTCTGACACATACACACATACACACACAAACACACACACACACACACACACACACACACACACACACACACACTTTTTTGCATAGATAGTATAAGTTTCACTCAAATAGCATGGAATTTCTAACCTTCCTTTATTCCGGGAAGAAGGAAAGACAATGTCCCTGCTTCACTTTGTGACAGGTGCTTTAACTATATCAAAGCTAGTTTGTGTAGAAAGCTGACATCAATGTAATTAAATTATAGGCTCTCTTTCATTGTTTTCCCCTTTGTTTCCATGCTCTTGACACATTTTCTTCTCACAGAGGCTGCACCTGTTTTCGGCGGTACAAAGTGGAACCCTAAAATACTGTGAAAGCTTTTTCAAACAGCTCCACACTGACACCTATGATGAATCTGAAAGAGCTCTTTACAAAGCCAAGAACTATTTTTCGTAAGAATCCCTCTGATATATAAGTAGTGGAGTCTTTTGGTACAGTGCACTTGAGGATACAAAATCAATGTACAAAAATCCATTGTGTTCCTAGATGCTAACGATAAAATTTCAGAAAAATAAATGAAAAATAAAAATCCCACAAAAACCCAATTCCTTTTGTAATTGCAACAAAAAGAACAAAATACAGTAAAACCTTGGATTGTGAGTAACGTGGTTTGCGAGTGTTCTGCAAGACGAGCAAACATTTCTAATACATTTTAACGTGGTAAACGAGCGATGTCTTGTAATACGAGTAGTTTGTTTTCGGAACGAATTATGCTCGCAAACCAAGGTATTACTGTACCTAGGAATAAACTTTAACAAAGGATGTGAATGACCTATACACTAAAAACTATAAGACATTATTAAAAGAAATTGAAGAAGACAGAAAGAAATGGAAAGATACCCTGTGTTCATGGATCAGAAGAAAGGGATTAGAAAGTACAAACCAGTAGCCACAATATTGCCATGGGGATATGAAAGACAGTTTGAGGAATATAATCAATAAAGTTGCAAAGATTTTGTAGGGTGTCAGATGGGCACTTGTCTTATTAGAAAGACCACTTCATCACTTCATGGAGGGTGTAGATGCCTGACCACTGCACTGTACACCTGAAGCTGAAGCTGAATAATGTTGAACTTCAACTATAATTTTATACACACACACACACACACACACACACACACACACACACACACATGGTCACAGGATTTGGAGTACAGCACAGGGAATAGAGTCAGTGGAATTGTAACAGCTAAAAAACGATGTCAGAGGGGTAGTAGATTGGGGGAGGGGGTTATCAATTTGTGAGGGGTGTAAATGTCTAACTATTACATTGTTTTATACATCTGAAAGTAATAAAAAAAAAAGAATCAACATAGTTAAAATGACCATATTACCCAAAGCAATATATAGATTTAATGCAATCTCCATCAAAATCCCAATGGCATTTTTTTAAAGAAATAGAACAAAAAAATCATCAGGTTGAATGGAACCACAAAAGACCCCGAATAGCCAAAGCAATCCTAAGAAAAAGGAACAAGACTGGAGGTATCACACTCCCTGACTTCAATTTATACTACAAAGCGACAATCAAAACAGCATGGTATTGGCAGAAAAAGAGACACACAGACCAATGGAAAAGGATTGAGAACTCAGAAATAAACCCATATATATATGGGTTTTTGACAAAGGAGCCAAAAACATACAATGGAGAAAAGAAAACCTCTTTACTAAATGGTGCTGGGGAAATTGGAAAGCCATGTGCAAAAGAATGAAACTAGACTGCTGTCACCATGTACCAAAATCAACTCAAAATGGACCAAAGACCTAAACATAAGACCTGTAACAATAAATTGCATAGAAGAATGCATAGGTGCTAAACTTATGGACCTTGGGTTCAGAGAGGATTTTATTAAGTTGACCTCAAAGGCAAGGGAAGTAAAAGCAAACATAAATGAATGGGACTATATCAAACTAGAAAGCTTTTGCACAGCGAGAGAAACCATCAACAAAACAAAGAGGCAACCAACCGAATGGGAGAAGATATTTGCGAACAACGCCTCCGATAAGGGGCTAATATTCAAAGTATATAAAGAACTCATACAACTCAACAATAACAAAAACCAAACAATCCAATTAAAAAATGGACAGAGGATCTGAACAGACCCTTCTCCCAAAAAGACAAAAAATGGCCAAACAGATATTTGAAAAAAAAATTCTCAACGTCGTCACTAGCTATTAGGGGAATGCAAATCATTTTCTTTAAACAATGAACGTTGTCTGTGTAACTTCGTGTTAGGCGCAGTGGAAAATGGCAAAGTACTACTGTATAGTTTTGTGTGGCTGCTGTAACAAATAAGCAACACTTAGTGAATTAAAACAGCACGAATTTATCATTATCTTAACAGTTCTAGAGGTCAGAAGCCTGGACTGGGTTCCACTGGGCTAAACTGAAAGGTGTAGGCAGTGCTGTACTCCTTTTGAAAATCCATTGTTTTTCCTTGCCTTTTCCAGCTCCCCGAGTCCACCTGCATCCCCTGGCTCCGTGTCCCATTTCTCCATCTTGAAAGGCAGCGGTGTCTGGTGGGGTCGTTCTCACACTCCAGCACTCTGATTCTCTGCTTTCGTTGTCACCTCTCTCTGTGGTAAGGGGCCTTTGGGTTACATTAGGTCCACCCAGATAACACAGAATCACATCATGTGAAGGCCCTCACCTTAACCATAAAGTCCCTGTGCCACAGAAGGGAGCACATCACAGCCTCCACGGTTTAGGAGCCTGTGAGCAGGCAGCTGGCAGGGGTGGGTGAGGCGTTATTCTGCCTATCACAGCTACATAAATATTGGGTTGTCGGGAAAGTCATGATGCATTTTTGCAATGAAAAACACAAACAATATGTCATGACTTTTCCGACAACCCAGTATACTAGGACTGACAGACGTTAAGAACAAATTTTGCTAAACATCTAATGTACTCCCAGTGTACATTAGGTTAACAAAAGAAGTACTAGACAGAAGCACAAAGTCACATGTTTGTACTGGACAATAAAGCTCTATACGGCCTTTGAGACTATGAGCATGGTAGAAGCACACGCTCTGTCTGCCTTCACAGCCCCACCTGAGGACAACGAGGGAGAAGAGCTGCCTCTGCTCAGTGCAGACATGGCATGGGGCCTCTGAGGGACTGCCGACGCACAGGCAGGGGAGAGCAGGGGGTTTAGGAGCAAAGATGTGTGACAGGCCCAAGGCATGCTGGGAAATGCAGCATCCATCCAGGAATGGACAGATTTCAGGCAGAGAGTGAAGAAGGTGCTACTCCCAAGGGGAGGGGAGGGTGGGGAACGGCAACACATTTAGGGAGCGGGTTTGGGTGACTTTTTAAATGGTAGTATTACAAGGAAAGGAACTAACGTTGTAACAATTATGGAGGGTGTCAGATGAGCACTAGATTTATTGGGGTGATAGCCAGCAACCATGAGACCTGTGGTAAGCCATCCGAGCCCTCAGACAACCTGTTAGCTGACTGCAGATGCGAGAGCAAGACTAATCAAGATCAGCTCCGACAAGTCCAGCTCTAGAGAACTGCACAGCTGAGCTGTAAAGTTACAAGAAATAATAAATGTTTGTGGCTTTACGGCCTGGAAATAAGCATACAATAACTTTATAGATTATTTGCTAATAAATGCTGTAACATCACACTTCGGTAGCAATAGTTTCCTGGTTTTTAATATTGGAGGTGACCACATACTTACTACAGACTTGCTGTAGGGATCAGGTGACAAGATGCTTCAAAGGGAGACAGTTTACTGGAGACTCTACCCTTGAATTAATAAAGACGCCTTTTCATGGCAACTGTGCCTGTACCAGAAAGAGCAAAATAGTAGTTCTCAGCTCTTGCAAAGGGCCTGGGGCCTCTCCGGGTGGAGGTACTGAAAATATGACGGCCTCTGGGACTCTCCTTATTCTGATCCCTCCTAATAACTAAGCAACCTTCTGACCTTAATCCATCTTTAAAAGACAAGTCTCTCCACTGGAAAGAGACCTTTCTCATTTGAAACTACGAAATTGACTTTCTGATCTCCATCAGGCCCTCATGCTCCTGGTGGGAGAAACTAGTTTTCTCAGAATCTCATTATTCCTGTTGAGGTAATGACTGAGGTATAGCCAGCCGATGGAAACTGAGAGAGGCAGCACTGACCTTGAGTCCATCCCCTGTGAAAGCTCCCTAATTCTAGGACTGTGCAATTATTTTTAATTAGCGCCATATAAGCTTGATCATAACTAAGTCCTCATTAACACTTAAACATTAACCTCATATGTTCCCTGTCTCTCTGGATAATTTTTTTTCAGGCTTGAATAAATGCCCTGGGTAAACTGCATCATTTCCCCTAGGAACTGTTATCTCATTGTTGGCACACAACAAGTGATGGTGGGAGACAGAGTGTGGGTTTACAAACAAATATTCTGCATGCTACTATTACGTTGTGATCTTTCCATGAGTGCAATGTCTATATGAGATGTTATTTATTATCATCCTCTAATGGGTTCTCTTGCCTGTTCTCAGGGAAAAAGGTGATTT